GCATTCAGTTGCTTGAAAACATCATGAACGAGAGATTCAGCCGGGTTCCAGGTGAGTCTCACGCAAAACCAAATTTGTTTGCAAATGTATGTATTTTGCCAATACGTTGATTGTTTAAGCAAGTCGTCCAAATGAAACCCTAAACGTCAATCCTCTTGATCAGCTAAATCAAATCAATAACCGTGATCAATTCTCCGCATTTCAGAAGCTGTCCGCTCGCAATGGATACCTGTCTATGAGGATCTCGGAGAAATCCCGGTATGTCTTAGTTAGCATCGCAGTTATACTTTGATTTGGAACCATTGAGCAATCAGAAAAATTTGTTTGCTTACTTTATTCTTCATAGTATTTCGGCATCCCCTACGTTCGATTTTTATCCCGTCGTTTTGAACTTATTATTGCATTAAACCCAAACAGGTTGTAAGTTGACACTAACTGGTTATGACAATAGGATAAAAGTACAGAATGTTTGTCGTTTGTCTCCATTTGCTCAAGTCCATCCAGCGCTTGTAGAAACAGAACTCGGTTTGTTAGCGAAACACGCTCATTTTCACACTAATTTCGTTTTGATTTGAGAACTGTGCAGCACATTTGGTTGAAGCGTAACATAACCGAGGGAGACAGTTGGAATTCAGCAAAGCCCCTCCTAAGAAGCGCTTTAGTTTGTAAATGGCTGTTGTCCACAAATTTCGGAAACTCGAGGATGACACCTACCTGATTAACCCAAAGAAGAGAGTTTCCAACACCGTTCTGAGTGGTATTTCTGTTGTGTCGTGATTGGCCGTCTATTGGTTCACCTGAACTGGGCTCGCTGGACTGCGCGAGAACCCGGGAACATTACTGCATAGTCAGGACAAACAGACAGAGCCTCTGCGTAAACACATAGGATGGCTAAATGGCCAATTATGGTCGTTCTGTCTAGCCAATGGCGACGTCCCTGCGTGAACAGTTTCCGCTGACCGCACGCTGCTGAGCCGTGTCTCGTAAGCCGCTCCAACGCACCTGCTGTACGGTATGGTATCAGTGGTGACCTTGAGGATGCATCGTTCTCTACACATGTGCTTTTTCATGTCTGCACGCGTCCAGAAAAAATGGTCCATTGTTGGTTTAGTGGGTGATCATCAGATAGACAGGTATATTGTTGAGCCCCTTTGCTGTGGTCTCTAGCCGGGCCAGGCGGAGTTACCCAAGGCGTTGACGATTTCAGCCCAGATGGGGACGAAATCCGGTACACGGCCTTCCTCCGTTTCTGACTGTAATTTCTGTTAATGAGTCGCATGACCCTCTAGAAATTTTTTCAAGGTCGAATTCCCTATCGAACTGGGACCCACGAAAGTAAAATATATTGAAAATGGCTATATGAACAAGTCAGTATTATAAAATACGACGCAAAATGCTCATTTCTGTAATTCTTCTGGAAATTGCAAAAGACTGGGGTCATGGAACAGTTTCAGAAGTATTCGAACTTGTCGTTTTGACTACCAACTTCGAGTGACCGCAAAATTTCAACTGAGAGCTGATTGGTGCGTAGCTCTCCATGTGCTGTCACACTCTGGAGCTCCATAAAACGAAATGTATCTGGACATGTTACCTTATTTAATCGATTAATTAGTTAATTAGTTAACTAATCCTAATCTGTCCGTTAATGTACTCCAAAACGGTGTAGCTAATGGTACCGGTCGTAGCTGTTACCGTCACGAAGAGACTGGACCTTACCGTGGTGTGGCGGTTTGTGTACCTCGGCGACCTCATCGTGGAAACCGTTCTTGAAGAACCTGTTCGATGGTGTAGAGGGATAGACAGCTGTCATTGTCAGATTAATTGGGGGCCTTGGAAAGGAGCTGTTTAGATCCCAGACGATACTGCCTCATGCAAGAGAGAAACCCCTTGTTCGAGTTTGCTAAGGGCGAGGGCCAAACCATGCAGACACGACTTATCATTTGTGACCTCCAATAGGGGACTTCAATACCTGGTAATTTTATGCGTTGTGAACCAAGACCGGGAACCCGTGTTTCGGCCGGAACGGCACGTATGTCGCGCATGGCACAGATGAATGGCTTGAAAAGGGCTTTATTCTGAGATTTCGGATCTCCACGTCAAGCAGAGTGAGGTCTATCCAGCAGCCTCTAAGCCGTGCGTCCCTAGTTTTGAGGGATGGAGAACGCCCGTCTTGTAAATTTGTCACCAAGGGCCAGAGCCAGCGTCTGAAGCGTCGCTTCTTCGGGACGCTGTATCTTGGTCTGCTGATCGGTCGTGCAACACTGTATCGGTCCTTGGTTTCCTGCTTTGCCAACTAATCATCATCATCAAAGACAGTAACATCAGTGCTTCCACTGATGCTTCACTGCCGTACAACCATAAGGTTCGTCTGGCCTATGTTGGCTGCTGGTCTATGTCAAGCATACTGGGGTGCCTACGCCTCCAACCGCTCAATCAGACAATCTGGAGAGAAACTGACAGCACGAACGCCACTGACATCGATTAACCGGCATTTCTTGCAACGTCTCCAGCCAAGCACAGATGGGGTCACGGGGACCCCATCCTGGAAGTCTCACCACACCAACAACACCCAAACTCTTCGTGATCTCTTTCACGCCTTTTTGCCAAGTCATGTGCTGTCCGCCTCGCGGTTTGCGCCATCCCGAAGGAGGCACGGAGAACAACACTCGTCTTGGTAGACGGTGTTTTGGCATGCGTAGCACATGACCAAGCCATCGTAGTCGATGATGCTGGATGTTTTCCCGGATTGAGGTGCCTGCAGCACAACCAAATACCCGTTTTCTAATCGCCTCGTTGCTGATACGCTGACGCCATCCACAACCAGCCACGCTTCTGAGGCATCGGTGGTCGAAAACCTGAAGACGCCTCCGAAAACCTGAAGACGCAGGAGCGTCTGCTTGCGGTACAACCCGGCCAACATCATCCAAGCATTGGATCTCTGATAGGACCGTGTCCTTGCTGGAGACCCGGCGACAGATTCCACCTGGTCGCCACCACAACTCCATCCGACGCATCATCCGACGCCAGGTGAAACTGAGTGTCCGCGCAGACCGAGAAGCTTGGTGGACCCAAAAAGTCGAAAAAATGAAAGATGCAAAGAATGCTGAAAACGTGCGCAAATTGTTCCACTTGATTCGTTCGACTGGTCCTCGGAAACCTCTTGTCAGCAAATAATCAGGCAGAAAAATGGCTCCCTGATATGCAACAAAGCAGGAGGTTTAGAGCGCTGGGCACAGTACTTCGAGCATCAGTTCAGCTGGCTGTCTGCCACCTTCAATCCAGAAACCTGGCCTTCAACAGAAAGGTGGACCGTAAATATGGAGCCGCCTTCAGTCCCAGAAGTGTCCAAATGCCTATTTTTTTTTTCTACTCAAGCGTCATCGTGCTGCTGGTCCTGACGACCTTCCACCTGCTCTCTTCAAGGATGGCGGTGGATTCCTCGTGCCTGTCTGTTAGCTTGACGCCTGTTGTGACAAGGCTTCTGGCGTCATTGATTCTTCGTCGTCTCATGGCGGCACGCGAAGTCTCGACTCGTGAGAATCAAGGGGGACGAACCTTATGGTTGTACGGCAGTGAAGCATCAGTGCCAACACTGATGTTGCTGTCTTTGATGTTGATGATGGTGATGATGTTACATTCCAAAATAAGTGGCCCGGTCTCAGGTACTTCCTGGTGCTATTTGAGATCTGCAAAGTCGTTATTCTTTGAAAACCAGACATACAGTAAATAAAAGTCAGTGTTCCTTAAACTAAGCAAACTTTCATGAAAGGAGATGTTTCAAAATAAGGTAATGATGAGTAGTGATGTAACCAAGACGAAAATCTAATTTCCTGTTCTGACGTCTGACGTAGGATCGTGTGAGTTGAGCAACAGAACCCCAAAACAGGGTTTTGGTGTCCATTTTTTCCTATATTGTTTGTCTTATACCCGTTTAAGTTTTTTTGCTTCCCAACCTATTCCCGATTCCAACCGATCGAATATCAGTTCTGTGGCATAACACCTCACATCATGCACCGACCAGATCAGCATGGCTAATCGGACTTGCTTTTTGGTGTGTGCTGTCATCCGTTGGCCCGAGGGTCCCCCATGAATTTCTGGATCTCTAGTCCAATTTGCTAGGCGTCCTGAAGTTTTAAGATCCTGTTCTGATTCTAGAGGTTCATAAACAATGGATTTATCGATACCCGAGGTCACAATGTCTGTGAACCGAAATACCCGGGCCAAAATATTTGGATGCCAAATTAGTTCAGTGTGGTAACGGTATTTTCCTCAGCTTAGTTCTCGGTCTGAGCCTCCCAAGCTAGCGTTCACGTCAAAACAACCACCAAAAGTTCACAAGGTCTATTAATGCGCAAAACGAAGTCAAGAACAGTTGTACAGCGCTTCGTATGTATAGCATAACTTTCTGGAATTTCTGACGCGTTCTGGATGCGCCATTGGCAACCGGCATTCGGCCAATACTGGGTCACGATTGGCTGTTGGGTCCAGATTCTGGACCAATCAGATCTCGTCTTGATGCCGGACCGGCAAGTGTCCCGAATTCTTGGCCAATCTCGTGCGGGTCAGGCTTCTCGGCCGTAGCAGCGCCTAAAGACGTGCGGTAAAGCGGGATCCGTGTGGAATTCTGCCTAACAGTCAGAAAGTATCAGCTCAGTGGGAAGAATCATCTAGCGATATTCTGTTGTTCAGTCAACAACAGTTGCATTTTCAAACTGTTTTATTCAAAGAGCTTTCTGTCGGCGAGACATTCAGTGACATTGGGCGATGCTTGGACAGCACTCAGCCACTTGTCCTTCTCCCAGTAACGTACCCAGTTGGTAATGGGGTTCACGGTCCTGACCTTTGGCCTGAACAAGTACCGAAAAAGACGATAGACTTCGAACGCAAGTTTCACTTTGATGAGGACTGGCTCATAAACTTTGGTCGAGTTTTTTTCCTAACTTTTGCATCATTTTTATACTACTGAAGATGACAAATCATGTTCATCAATATCCCACGGCTTCCTTTCCTAGATGGTCGGTGAAGAGGTAATAATCGATAAAGAGGATCAAAAACTAGTCCACGATGGGCTGAAAGACCTTCTTCTGGCTGAGGTTACCGAATACATGGAACAAAAACAATCCTGGTGAGTTGACGGAAAAGCTCACGTGTCTTGACAACAGCAAAGTGAAATTCAGTACATGTCTGCCATAATGGTTCGTTGAAAAAAGTAACTGGCGAAAACACAGCAAGGTTGCGAGGGAAGGAGCATTGACCCCCCAAAGTTCATCTCGTACATCGAACGTATTCAATCCTAGGAAAGTAATCTAATACGAGCTTCTTTTTGACTATGACTCGTCAAATGAGTGTAACTCCGATGTTTAGACTGTGTATACCAAAGACGCGTTTTTACCAACCGCTTTTTATGAACTCAATAGTTTGCGTGGTATGTCCACCGTGCAGACTATGTGACCACGACTTGATACCTATCATGCCCCTTCTTAAGGAAAGTTAGTACCAGTTATCCGACCATTTTTCAGTAGTCGGATTCCTCATGAAATTCGACGCATGGGTCAATCCGGGCGGTCCATCGCATTGCCTTCATTCTCCAAGGCTCAACGAGACCACCCGTTAGAAAACTGCAGATTCTGGTCCGGACTGGACCGCTTAAAAGTTTGAAGGGCTCCTTATTTAGTCAGTTAACACAAACATCTCGTCACAAACTCATTGCCAACTTCCTGGTTTTGTACAACCCCACCAGGATTGTAATTAACGCTGAGCAGGGAAGGGGAAATAAAGGATAAGATTCTCAAAATAATCAGCTGGAAACCAATACAAACGAACAAAAGAGAAAATACAGGGACATTGTAACGTCTTTAATAGATCACGTGACTCTAGTGGAAAACACCAGGTCGCCCATAGGTCTCTCCGCAGGCACAACAGTGGCAGTTCATCGGTTATGTTCCGAGAAATTTCAAATATCTTCCATGATGACCAAGAACGACGAGTGATAAATGATCTTGTGTTTTGTTACATTCGGATGTCTTTGCTATGCTTCATACAATCTAATGATGTGCACAATCTGGCGATTCTGTTATTCCCGTCTCGCTGAAGCTACAGAGTAAGAAAAAACTTCAATCTTTGCGATTGGAGAGCTTTTTTCTACATGACACACGCCTGAGGTGGCTTTACCAATTTTTCATCTGATTTCCGCAGACTGTACGGTAGAACAAAATCGAAAACAACCTACACACACGAAATAAGATGGGTTACGTTGCGCTGTAACCTTGCGTCATCAGAAGGGAGTTAGATAGTCAGATCGAACCACATATTCCCTCTGTGGACTGAGGGACTACTGAAGGTCATGACAGGTCAAGGTCTTAAACAGGGCATTTACGGGAGCACATGTCAGCAATCAGTGGCCTTACGGAGCTAGCCCCCACCATGATACTAGTGTGACGGTGGATACTACTGATGAGGTGTGAGAGTAGTACGTTTACATTACCGAATTTGTGGAGTCGCTTTGTAGCATTTGCTTGCATTTGAGTAGCAGTCAATGAATATCCAGGAAAGTTCTGGAAGACACGTTCACGGGGAAGATGGATATTCAGTTTTTGGTAAACAAGATGCATATGGGGGTTCCGCTTTCCTGTCCAATAGTCTGTAACTGATCAGTTGGTGTTTTCAGGTAAACAACTTCGCGGCGAAGGCCTTTTTCGTTTCACTAGTTTACCAGAGTTTATTGAAATTCGATCGATCGAAATGGACAACCTATACCAATTAGGCAGGTTTCGGTTTGACCCCAAATGTCTAGAGTAGACAAGGTGAGATGCAACAGTCCTCAGAGCAACATCGCTCTCTTCTGGTTTACCCAGAGGGACGCATGCTCTTCGATCCAAGTAGACGGCCGCCGCACCAGTGTAGGACGCAGTACAAGTAAACTCAAGTAAATGGAGTACCTGAGAGGTCTCGCTAACCACTTTCTCACAGCATATTGTTTGGGCAAAACAACGCTACCTTTGAGGAAGTATATCTAACTTGATTTACTAGAAATCTGAATAGTTTCTAATGTGTCAGAAAGAATCAAAGCTTCGCAAAATCAGTGTATTGAGTGGGACCTTTTTGAAATAACTCAGCTTTGAATATACCCAGCTTCATATGGATTCACTTTGCCAGCAAGGAAGCACAACTGGTTATCCGTAGTTATTTCCGACCTAAATCTGATCGTAGCATAAGCTTTGTGTTTCCGTAAACGCCCTGTTCGAGTCCTCATCAGTACTTCAGTTCATTTTACTTTACCGTGACTTTCCCCTGGAGCAGAATGAGTTCGTCGGCTTCTGTGATTCATATTCGGGTTATAACAAGTCCATGCTTCTTTTTAAAATCCTTTTGGTGCCAAGCTGCCACGCCACCCGATGGAGGCATGAGGGCTGGGATACGGCCAGGTTGCTCAGACCTAGACAAGGGAAATCGAGATGCAAAGGTCGGATTCGAACCACAGACATTTCAGTCAGTAAATTCGGGCTCTAACCACTGAGCAGTCTCTGTTATATCATATTGTTATTGGGTCCATTTGGGTGGCTTCCTTCAACTGGATCAACCTACCGTGTTCCGCTTATTTTTCCCTGACTCCTCAAGCGAGTGGGTACAGATGCAATCGAATGCAACCAGGTTACAATAGCTTCAAAATATGTATAGGCATGGTCTTTCTGGGTCCAGCTTAACAACACCAATCTCCGCACTATCTACAAAGGAGAAGTAATCTGCTCAGAAGGGGATAATCACACAAGCCTCATTGACCTGACTGAGAAATCTTCGTTCGAGGGGTCACTTTGAAGAGGATCATTGGCCCAAACTGACTGTTTGACAGATGGTCACACTCTACCGCTGTTGAATCGATCAAAAGGATACGCACCACTCCAGGGGAATCTTAGTCTAATACAGTAAAAACACGGGTTCTTATTAGACTACGAAACAGCATTGTTGACCACTCTCTGCATGTTTCACTACATTTCCAACGCTATTCGCTCGTGGTTGGCCCGCTATCTGATTGACTCTGTGGAAGCTGGGTCGGCTTTTGCAAGTTTGAATAAAATACAGCGTTCATAATTAGATAATTCGAACCCGAGTTCACCTTCACTAAAGTGCTCAGTTGACTGGCCGAAGGACCGTTACTCAGTACAGAAACAGTGTTCAATGTTGAGCTATACACAAGGTCATGCATACGAGCCATGTACTTCGTTGAGAAAATCGATAAAGAAGAATTCACTTCAATCCAGGGATATCTGAGTTCATTATTGCAAAAATGGGTGTTTGTTGGTTTATAAACAGCATCGTGTGCTGCTCTGTGCATGCATTACCGAGTGTTCGAATATTTTCGTTCCCGATTGGTCCCCTAACCTTTTGGACTCGGCGGCACCTGAGACCAGCCGACCTTTGTCCAAGGTCACCGATAGTTTAAACTAGAACGTTCAGGAAAAAAACGGAGCACCGTGGAGCAGTTGTTCGAAGCTCGAGTTCACTTTCATTAAAAGGCTGTGTTGAATGGCTGGAGAGCCGGTAGTGTCATTCCGTTGCAGAGAACATCATATTGATGATATCTCTTCGATATCTCTTCTCCCGGTAGTGTGATGGATAATGATCCCAACTGTATCATATATGTGAATGAGTCATGTATTGTCCATTTACCAGTGAAAAGAAGGACGCATTCGTTGCGGAGTTATTTATCAGGAAATGCCAGCTGAACAGTTACAGACTATTGGACAGGGGATCAAAACTCTCACATGCATGTTGTTTACAAAACGGAATAACTATCTTCACCTTGAACGCGTCTTCCCGAACTTTCCGGGATATTCATTGACTGCTAATTGCAAACAAACGCTACAAAGCGACTCCACAAATTCCGTAACAGATCTCACTATTCAAGAGACGCGAAGCGGATTCACGAGAAAACATACTACTCGCATACCTCCTCCATCAGTAGTATCACCGCTACACCAGTGGAGATCACTGCTTCAAGTCCCCTTTTTCGAGCAGTGCAGATGATTCCCAACAAAAACCAAGCAGATGTAGGATACCTGTAGGCCTTTCTTCATGAAACAGTTACGGCGTGAACTATCTGCTGAAATTTCATATTCTTCTAGCTACCTACGGAAGGTCTTATTACGATAGCAGTTTGAAGTTGGCCAGCATTCCCCAATGTGACAAAGCGGCTTTGGTAAACTATCGTTTGTCACGATCGTGTTAGGTTTTTTCGGAGAATCCCACTATGTCACCACGGCAAAAACTTCGAGGGTTGCTTGAAGTGTCACGGTTTCGTTGATTGATCAAACCTATTAGGCACTCTTTCAGAGTTATGGTTGATTTCCTTAATTTTTTCACCTCTTGGTTGAAAAACATGAATTTAGACACAGAAGGCTTGCCAAAAGTAAGATGCAGTGGGCTTTATTTATTGTTAGGGCATGTTAGTGCACAGTTGATAGCCATAATACAAATCAGAAGGTATAGGCACTAATAGAGGTTTTTAGTATAGTTGACAATGGTGAGATGCCACACGTATAAAAATAAATACAATGCAAAATGGGAGCAATTCAAAAGAGGAACTCATTGTCTGTGAGAGTACCTTGGTGAAAGTCCGGACGGCGGGAACGTGCTCTTCTCCGCAGTGCCATTGTCCGTGGACTTGTGGAGAGGTTGGCTTCCTGCTCCCTGCACGCGCGCGAGTCTGTGTGCTGACTGTGTTTGGTTTCCCTATATGTAGGTCTGTTTGCGTGTACGTGAGTGTGACAGTACATGAGTAGTTGCTACGCTCACTAGACGGTACAGACAATCGATGTCCGATGAGTTAGCTTAATGTGACGTGTTTGCGAGTATAAAAAGGACAAGTCTCGTGATCCAGTGAGCGATTGTGAGCTGAACAGTCAAGTATATGGGTGAGGGGGTAGCTACAAGCCCAGTGATTAAGGCGTTAGCTTACGGACTGAAAGGTCCGTGGTTCGATCTAACCCTCAGCGTCTCGACTGCCCCCATGTAGGCTCTGGCAACCCGGCGGTATCCCAGCCCTCGTGCATCTTTTCGTTGGTATGGGACCTAGACAGCTGGACGTTTTTTTAACGTCTCTTGGTAGCCCTTTGTGATGGTAGCCCA